CTTGTCATTGAAAATTAATATTTCCATAAAATAGATAATTTCCGATTAATTATAAGAGTTTATGAATATTTATTATAATTAATTTCTAATAAATAATCAATTGTATCAAATTGTTGTTAGTATGACCCTTAGGATCATATATTATCTAGCAATATCATTTAATAATGACTATTGGGCATATAGATCTTTCACTTTGAGATCTTTCCATATCTCATGAGCAGTCTCTGCAAACATGATACTAGCAGAAATCTCTTTTGAGACTGAATTGAGAATCTAGGAGATAAGGAGATTTTTATTGCATATCCACAAGTTGTACATGTTAACTTCAGACGAACTTGGCTTTTCTAAGGTTCCATCGACGAATCCAGTTTTATTCTTCTCAGATAGTACAATTAACATCACTTGACTCCATGAAAGATAATTTTCACCAACAAGATGTTGAGAAACAAGAACACATCTAAGATTGTCTGAATGATGAAGATAATAAGGATGTATACGATCATCAATCGGAGATATAGTAGATCTAGAACTTTGTGATCCGAAATTCTGCGAGTTAGAACTCGAATTAGGTGCATACATTATCTCAATTTGTTAGAAAAACAAATTTGTAAACAAAAACAATCTGAAATGATTGAATTGGATGAATGAATGAAGAAACAAAGTGATCTTCAAAATTGCGGAAGAACGAACAAATTGAGCTCTAATACCATATTACACAGTAAAGATGAAATGGAGAAAAAAGAATATTCTCATTGAATTGAATTAACACTGCGATCTAACCAAACTGACTAACAACTAAGATGCTAACTAACATATTAGTAGAAAGACTAATTTACCCCTAAACGGTTAACTTACACAACTAACAGTAACAATTTTTCTAACAACCCGGTAATATATTTTGTTATGAACCTGATTATCTTACAATATTTATCATATATAATTCTTTTACAAAATTAATTACGTTGCAATTTATCCTAATAGAGTATTGTAGTTGAGTATTCGACGCTAATCCGAGTTCTAAGTTTTGCAACGTTGCAACAAAGTAATCTCATAAAATAAGTTTATCTTGCAAAGCTATTAATAACTACTTTATGATAAATAAAAAATATATATGATCATCATGTGGTATATGTTATTTGGTCATTTTTATGGTTAGTACGGCCTGAGTTTTAAATCTCAGTCCCTCACACACTCACTCTACAAATCACAAAAGGGCCACGTGGCCCAATTCTGTTCTAATAATTCGTATCCTACAGCCCTATACACCGACTCCTACCTTTGAAAAGGGTTATATATAAATTTCAAACATTTTTTTTTCGATCGGTAAATATAAATATATAATCAATTTCTAAACTAATATCTAATTGTATTTATGTTCACAACAATACTTTTAACATTCAACATCAATGATGGACACCACATAAACTACTGGCTAAAAACTCTTTGATATATTTTTTTCTCATTCTGATTTATTATAACATTATATTATTATAATGGTGATATTTTAGTAATAAACAATAGATTTTTTTTGAGGCAACGCAAGTGGCTGGATGTAGTCAATGACTATGACTACGAAATCTATTACCATCCGGGTAAAACAAATGTGGTGGCAGATGCTTTTGAGCTGCAAGTCGGCTGAATCTTTGGATATGGAGATGTGTATGAGGATATCAGTTGATTACCCGCTTTTGAGATTGATCAGGGAGGCTCATGCCGAGAGAGTTCGAAAGGAGAACCGGAAGCAAGAGAGGATCAGAAGATTTAGAAAAAAAAACACACACGAATTGTTATTGACCATTTGCGACTAGCTAAACTTTAAAGTCTTCTATTATTTAATTCATACGAAAAAACCTCTTATATTAGATTTATTTTAATGTTAGAAAACTTAATATACATCTTAATGTAGGATCCCACTCTTATATATATCTTATTGAAAAAAAAACATATAAAATGTTTCAATAATGTGGAGGTTCTCTAGGCACAAAACTAATATATAGGTTTTCGGATTTGCAATATAGAATGAAACCCAATTTGGTAAACTGATATTAGTTTTATGGCGAATATGGCAGAGTTTTTCATTTATCTTTATGTGGCATGCCTGTCAATAAGCTTCTGATAAAAAAAACGTAGTTCTAATAAGATTTGTAATATGAATACGTTTACGTTTTGCGGAGATATAAAGTCATTTTAGGATTCTATTTCTTAGTACCATGACAAAAATGAACTCCTGATTCCATCATCTCTTCTAAATTAATGTTTCAATATCTTCTTGTCATTTCTCCCCACACTGCCTCCCCTTTCGAAAAAAAAAGAGAGAGGTACCCTAAAATAAATAATTATTTCGATGAAACCTTCTTTTATACCATAGATTGATGTAGATACACAAACCAAGCCATTATTCTTTTCTATTTGTTATTTTTTTTATTACTATTACCAAACCAAATTACTGGACCAACAGATCATTTATAAAAGATAAAAGAAAGGATGAATCTACTCTTAGAGATCATTAAATCCTAAAAATTGATTATTCTTGTGTATCATGAAAATTATTTGAAAGGCAAGAATCAAATAATATTCTGTGGTAGAACAAAATATATTTCATTTTCCCCTCTAAGATATTCTTTTTTTGGAGTTCAAAGGCAATGTTGTATGTTGTTAGGTTCGCTTGAAGGTGTTTTAAAGCCGCTACCAACATATATCACCAACCAACCCCCCCCCCCCCCCCCCGAACAACGTTTTCTTTCAGCCCTTTCAACTAATCGATACGGCCAGGAGAGATGATTTTGCTAAAACTCTAGCACTTTGTTGAAAACTAGCTTCCGATATGAAACTTTGAGTATTGATAGATGCTCTTGTTATTCCCAATAAGATGTCTTGGTAACAGATCGCTTCTACCAAAGCACGTCCCATTCGTTCCGCTCGCAACAATCCAATTAGTTCTCCAGGCGGAAAAACATTAGACATTTCATCTTCTGAAACCAAAACTTTTGATTTTATTTGACGTATTCTATATGCATATTATGTATGTGCATCCCTTGGGAGTGATAAACCTTTTGGACCTTATTAACCAAAGAGATACGACTTTGCACTATAGTTAGTTCAACACCAATCAAGAATGCCCAAGGAATTCCAAGAATTCTTGTTATAGATTTGTTCCAACCCACAATCCTCTTTTTTGGAAAGGGAACTTCCCTAACGAGGGTTTCCGGGCCAGCTTTCGCGCACAGACTAATCCCCCGCTGCAAACATGAGGCTTTGCCTCATGCCCTGGAGTCACTGCAGGCGAACCTCCATGGCCACAAGGGCTGAGTAGTGTCAGGATTTGAACATGGGTCAATAGGTTATCCACCATATCTTCCACATGTCTTACCAAGTCACCACAATCCTCTTTTTGAGATTCATCGATATTGAATCAATCGAACAACTTCTAACACATGTTCCACTTTTGGAAGACCTTGCATTATATCAACAGATCTTCATTTTTCATATATAAATGTAACTAACGTAATGCCTTCGTACATTTTCACAAAGAAACTACCTAAGACTAACGGTTAGAGATGTCTCTTCATAATAATTGTAATGGAGAAAATACCAATTTAAGTATTTGAAAAATCTGTTTCAAATTGTCAAGTTGCAAATAGTTAGTTACCAAGATCTGATTATAGGTTATTAAATGGGAAAATAAATCAAAATTATAAAGTGGAAAAACTATTCCTAACGGGCCCAACGAATTCCTAATTGGAATTAGGGGGTTCTTTTTGATTGATTTTTTTTATCACATTGGGAGATTTTACATCGTTAAATGGGCCTATTCGTTCCTTGTTTTGATTCAACAACGTATGGATAATTCTTTGATTTGGATTAAGGGATTCTTTAATCATTGACTTGGAATTGGAATATGAATAAATGGAAGAAAATTGATTGACATTAGCACGATCTGATCAATTGTAAGAGATCAATCCTGAACCCGATAGATATTTCCTTTTTTCGATATAATAAATAGGTGACTTAGCTAAGTCAATTCTTAGAAAATGTCTAAGCAAACCATTTGTCCTTATTTCAACAAAGGAAGCACATGCTTTTTCGATTTTTTTTTTGTCTTGGTTCTAATTCAACACTAAAGAAGTTAGAAACTAATTGAATACTTATGTCCTAAATTTCAAGAATTGGGTCGTAATAAAGGATATAATTGACAACTCGAAGTTGTAGATTATCACTTTCCTGCAAGAAATCCGGCGGGAAAAGTCTTTCTAAATTTATACCATCCGTTCTTTTATATGAGACTACAGGTTGAACCAAAACAAAATACTTTTTTTTCATACCTAGAAAGTTTCATTCGTTGGATATAGAGCCAAATTTTCAATTTTTCGTGTTCTTTAGAATTTGGTTTTCCCCTTCCTGGCGGTATCAATCAGAATGTTTTATTTGTCTTTCCAGAAAAATGGATATCTCCAGAAAAGATTATCAGTTTCATTTTTTCTACTTTTTTCTTCACTCGGACCAATCTGCCCACCCGACATCTTCACCACAGAGTTAACTTGAACAAATAGAAATTGACTCGATTTTAAATGCGGTCCTTTTTTTGATATTCAACATTTTCACAAAGAAACTGTCCACGACTAACGATTGAAGATGTCTCTTCATAATAATTGTAATAGAGAAAATACCAATTTAAATGGAACGGATTGAAAATGATGTTACTGCATGAATAGGGATTATAAATTAGACCATTTTCATCCGGTAAATAATATATACGTATTTGAAAAATCTGTTTGAAATTGTCAAGTTGCAAACAGTTAGTTACCAAGATCTGATGTTTTATTTTATCTAATTTGTAATTAAAATAAAATATAAATACAAATCTTTTAGATTTAATGAACGTTTTACATAGACGTAGCAGATAAACGAGCAATAAGCTGTATCACAATCTCTTTTTGGATGAAAAAACTAATTCTTTTAAAAACATCCATAGATCTTGGAGTCATAACATTAATGTGCATGTCCCGTTCGACTATATTGAATAGCTTCACAACATCTGGTGCAAGAAACCGAAAGTAGAAAATGCAAAAGGTTATTTTGTCGTCATGTTAGCATAGCTTATAGACTAGCTTATTGTAATTTGTGAGGTTGATAAAACTACAAAAATAGGTTATTTTAGATTATAAACTAACTTATAAGTTAACTTTTGATAAACTACAAAAATAAGTTATATTATCTTATAAACCAACTTATAAGTTATCTGCTGATAAACTACTTTTATGATAACTTTTGATAAGTTTATGAAGTTTTTTTAAAACTTATTTCAAATATGCTTTAAGTTGTATCTAATATTTTTAGTTATATATTTAAATATTTATTTATGTCATTTTACATTTCAATCTACCTTATAAGTTTTTATCAAAAACTATTAATTAATAAACTATCTTATTAGCTACAACTAAGAGCATCAACAATGCATAGTTCAACAGAAAAGTTGGATGAGATGACATGTCTAAATGTCATTTAATGGATCAAACTTCACCATTGTGGATGCCATATCGGTATTCAATAAGTATGGAGTTTATTGTTCATTGAACTCTTCAATGGGAAAAAGAAAACCTTTTAATCATTAAAAATATATTTCATTGAACTTTGTAGAGATCAATACATTATAGGAAAATTAATATAGAATTTTATAGAAAATAAAATGATAACATGTCAATTAGTTAAACTCTAATAAGTTCAAATTATTGTGGATGCCCTAACTTATCAACTACCAACTAAATTTTCAATTAAAAATTAATTTTTCAACTAGTCTGTTAAACATAAGGGTAGACATTTGGACTGGATCGGATCGGGAACTGGACTTGGACCTAGTAAGCTTCAATAGGTCCGGTTCAAAATCCACCAATTTCTGCAAAGCAAGTTCGGTTCAAGAGTCAGTCTGGTCTACTTTAGTCCAAATGCTCACTTTTGCGTCCAAGATCCGAGAACCGGATCTGGACCAGGTAAACCTTAATAGGTCCGGTCCAAGGTACATTAATTTTTATAAAACCGTTTCGTTCCAAGAGTCGATCCGTTCCGACCCTTATACAAATGCTCACCCCATTAAAGACTGACTGAAATCTATTCAACGGTGCAGTTAAAAGAAAAGAAAAATGATCTAAAAAGCGCTATTGGTTATGATTTTTGACATTAATCCTTTTATAAACACATTTTTTCAAGTGGGAGACCTTTTAAGTTTTATGTTGACTAAGTACTTCACATGGCTTAGTTTGAGCCCTTTGAGCAAAATAAGAAAAATTCAAATGCTTTTCTTTGCTCATAAGTCATCTTTCATGTGATTGGGAACCCATCCATTGTACTCGAAACCCTCCCTAGTAGTCATCTATCTATATATCTTAATATTATAACATAAAAAACTCAAATTTATATGCTTCATATATACGTGCACCTTTGGTTCTAAAAAATACATGTACTAATTAAGCTAAAAATATAAAACAAAAATCTAAAAATTAAAGGAGAGCTTTAAATTTATTAAACTGATTGGCCGTACACCATAGCCATCGTGTTCTGTACAATTTCAGATTTCTCTCTTTCATCGAATACAACTCATTCCTATTGATAAAAGCATCGGAAGATCTAAAGTTATGATCAGGCTAATTAGATCAGATGCTAATCATTCCGATTTTATTTTATAGTAGTTATATTTTTCATATGCTTAAACGTACATCGATGTTAGCAACTTAATCATCGTCAATCTATCTGCAACTGCATGAGGAGATCGAGATAGAGAAAATCTGAAATAAGATGGATTCGAACCTAGAACGCTGAAACCATCGGTTGTGATGCAGGAAGCAACGTCACCTTAGATCCAGATTCTTCTTCGTCATCTTCATCTTCTTCTGCTTCCCACATGAATTGCGCGTATGATCCCATCACCATACTGCCATGTTAATTTCCAGATCCATCACAGTTAGTTCATTAAATTTATGAATTATGATTTATTTCGTGTAATTATGTTTTGATGATGAACGTAAGGTACCAATCATCAGGAGATGCGCTAACAGCCTGATCGAAGTAAGATTTAGCTCGCTCTCCGTCTTTCTCTGTATCCCAAATTAGTTTCCCGTATAACGATAAAAGTTCTCCGTCTCCAGGACTCGCTAGTATCGCTCTTCCGTAGTACTCCTCCGCTTTAACACTGTCTCCTTCTACCTGAGCTTCCAAGAACACAAAAATTTAGTTAATTATAAGAACAGATTCACGAATTTAATTGTCGATTGAAGGAAGAATATTAATGAGGAGTACATAAAACCGATCAAATTAATTATGTATACCTCGTGCAAGTATTTTCCATAGTTCCGTAGGATAAGAGGATCGTTAGGGTTCGACTTCAACATTTGAAGATAGTACTCACCGATTTTCTTCCGTTCGCGATCGGAAGAAGAACCTCCTGAACCGAAACCATCGCGATCTCGTCCACTTCCACTACCGACACCGGAAAACTGCGTCTCCTCCACTGCGATTCCACTTCCCGGCATCCAACTCATCCGATCAAAACATTTCTCCGTGAACTTCAACGCTCCAATACTTCCACCAGTACCATCGTCATCGGACAACGACTCCTCGTCCACCTCCGGTAACATTTCCGGAAAAGTTTGCGATCCCGCACTGATTGACCTCAGTCTATTAATTTCCTTCGGCTCAGATATAGCTCTAGTGATTCTCCGACGATTGATGTTGTTGTTAGCTTCCAAACACAAACACGAAAACTCCACCTTCTCACCACCGGAAAACGAATCGTGACGAAGAGGAACGGCGATTCTTGCTGAACCGGGCAATAGCGACGAGTGAATCGGTCCTGAACCGGTCCGGAAAAGTACACCCGTCATTTTTATCAAAATTTCTAATATAAATATAAGATAGATAGTGATTGTGTTGTGTGTGAAGGGTTTATGAGGTTTGTATATATATGGATTCTAACAAGCGTTTAATAAACGGCGTCGGTTAGATTAGAGGACACGTGTAAAAGGATGCACGTGAGAGTGTATGGGGGCACATGTGCATACTGTTGACGGAAACGTAGACTCTCAAAAAGGGGTTTAATCACGTCGAAGACGTGAACACGAGGTGACGTGGATAGTGCCACCGTTTAAAACGGCGTTTCACTTGTTAAAGCTGGACCCCACCTTACTACGGTTATTTTCGTATTTTACTTTCTTGTTTTAATTTTCGTTTTATGCATATTATATTTTGAAAGTACTGAGATTTAGATAAGATACATTTAAAAAAAAAATCGCTATCATGTGACTTTTGGACTCTAGTGATAACAATTTTTTCGTTTTTTTTTTTTGTCAATTAATCCATCCATTTTTAATTTTAAAGTGATAACTTGAAGTTATTATTAAAGTAGACGCAAAGTTAAAAATCGTTTTCGATTTAATTTACTGAAAAAGAAAATATAAGGCAAAACTTATGGGCGCATTCGGTTTGGAGTAAGTGAGACAGATGCATGTGGTCTGAAATAAAAAAGCAATGAGTAGCAGCCAAGCGATGCCCCACGTTTAGTTACATATGAATATGATCCCTATCTTGATTCATTGCCTCCTTCCTACTATTAATATCTGCATAATATTTTGGTACGAATTTTGTAATTATTAGTTATTTAGTACGATGGAATTGAATGAATTAAATCAAGTAATATAACAGACAAGGTAATAAATAATAATGTTGATATTGTCATATATATATATATATATATATATATAAAATAAAAACGAATTTTCAAAAAGCTAACAAAAATTTGCAATGAAGTAGCTAAATTTGAATTTAATAACCATTAGGCTCGATTAATATTGATTTTCCTATTACGGAAAGCAAATCAATTATAAGAATAATTGATCGATCAATCAACAAATTAATTATTGTATTTGAATGTAATGAAACAACTATTAAGACCGGTTAAGAATAACAAAAATAATCAAGGAACGAATGAAATTAAATTTTGTTAATTACAAAAATACCTTGACACAAAATCCATATAATTTACAAAATTTCATAAAATTATCCAATTAAAAATTATAATAAACATATATTATGAAAAAAAATATATACTTATCGCATAATAATTAAATAAACTAGAAGATCAATGTTTTTATCCGGCTAAAAATATAAATAAATTGAAAATAGCTTCGTAAAAATGTTATATATCAATATTTTCGCTAGCTAAATAAAAAACACACATTTCCTTCTACTATTGCCAACTAAAAAAATATAAATCATCGAAATTTCATCATATATAATATGAAACAGCATTAGCAATCACGTTCTTCATCCATCCAAGTTTGCGTTTTTCATCATCGTTAAGAACTTTCCATAAACTTCTCATTTTGTGCAAGATTACATATAGGTCTGCCAATTGGGTTGGATTCGGGTTGGCGGGTCACGGGTTGGTGGGTTGGCGGGCCAGAAAACATAAACTCAAACCAACCTATATCATATATATGGGTTGACGGGTTGGTGGGTTGGAAACCTCAACCCAACCCAACCCATTTAAGTATATGGGTTCGCGGGTTCAGAATTAGTGGGTCAAACCCAACCCATATAACCCGTTTAACAAATAAGCAACGTATTTTAAAAAATGAGGTTTTTCAACATAAATTCATAAAATGATTAAAATAATTAATATAAAAAATGTTTTCAACAATAATTCATAAAGTCAATAACATCAAAATAAAAATGAAAAATGAAAACATTCATAGAAAGTGGATGTGTTCTTCATTCGTGACTTGTGAGTATCTAAAAATAACGACATGTATTTTTTCTTTTTTTGATTAACGAACCGCAAACGCAGATTAGTCAAATACAAATACGGAAGGAATACAATGATACGAAATATTACGAATACGGATGGAAATCAAATTTCATTAACAATTAAATATATCATTTTTTAAATGTAATATATATATATATATATATATATATATATATATATATATATATATATATAACCCAACCCAACCCATGAAATAAATGGGTTGGTGGGTCAAAAATGTCAACCCAAACACATCTATTTTCGGGTTGGGTCAATGTCGGGTTACAGGTTGGGTCGAGAGTTGCCACCCCTAATTACATACAACCTTGTGACATGATGAAGTTACCTAATCTCTTAGCCAATTATTTTAGCCGAATCTTACAAGCTCTTCATAAAAGGATCACAAGTCCCAACTGTTGTGTATTTTTCTCTTTCGTTATATGTTTGATTCTTCTCTAGAATGAGCATATGAAGGAAAGTTTAGTGGCGTATTTATATAATATAATCCATTTGTGGTTCTTTATGTTTGATTGAAATGCTCTTGTTGCACTCTATTTATCTTGGATATAATATAACTAATGTGAGCATCTCTTCCATTTTCATGATCTTTTCCCATTACAAGACATAACTCCTAGTAATGAGGAAATTTCTTACTGCTCCATTTTTTTTTGTAAGTTTATGCATCTTAAAACAAGGATCATATACAAATAAAAGGAAAAAACTTAAAAAATGATTATGGACTACTAAATGTATGTATTTGAAAGAATATGTATTTTATAAACAGGATGGGGTGCTTCGAGCATGTTGTTCTTATATTCTCATCCAAAACTACTTGTATTGTTCCAACTAACATGTTACACATGCCAAACACATTACGCTTTAACGTCTTTATGTGTGACTTTATATGGGGATTTTCTTGTATGATAGAGTTAGAAAGTGAGACAACTAGTTGTCTTCCACAATATTGAAAAATCTAGGTTTAAAACCATTTTCTGGTTTATATTAAGAACTCGAGTTGGGCACATAAAGCATGACCACAACAAGCTTCCTTTTCTGGTCTCCGTCCATTTAACCAAATATTCAAATGATATATTTGACCTGTGAATGGTGCAAGGAATCCCCCTCTATTAGTGTTACCATCATCAACAAGATAATAGTTATCTTTAGTCACTTGTAATCCATTTTCTTACATCAAAGCACTACGCAGTATTATACTATCAACAACAGATCATTCCCAACTCAGTATACAAAAATGAATTACATATCAAGTATGCAAGCAACAAGTATATTGGTTGTCATTTCTCCATTTCGATTACAATATCTCGGTTCGTCTTCCTCGAGTACTTGTACACTTATAAGTGTTCCATGTATTTCTCATAAACGTCCCTTAAACCATTTTCATATTTCATATATTAATGTTGCTAATATTGGCTAAGAAACTTCACATGGTGTGTCAAAACATGCATATATTGCAACTTGATCATCTACTTGGAGATATTCTGAGGCCATCAACTTTCCATCCATTTTTAGCATATTACATAACTTCACGATAGATGACGTTTTATGCATCTTTTCTATTAGTTTTTAGTAGTTTTTTGTATTGTATTTTATGCATTCATCCCGTATTAGTGTAAATAATGGTTAGCTCATGTTTTTCACTAGATTTTCCGTATTATTCATATTTTTATGTCGTTGTTAGGTACTTCAAACACGACTAGTATTCTAGAAGCAGTTTGGATGCATTTTTAGAACTTAGGGGCTGTTTGATGCATCGTCTGACTGGGTTGAATGCTTGGACTTGGTCAGAAATCTCCTGTCTGTGCGTTTGTTTTTCTACTACAATCTTGGACTTGGTCCAAAATGTGATTTGGTCCTCGTTTTTGTGTTGATTCAGTCCAAAGGAAAAACATGGCTGACTAGGGCGGAATGAAGAAAAAGACATGCTTTACCCTCGATGCTCCTTCAATCTCCCACATCGCTCCTCCTCCAGAATTTGTATGATTTTTCCTATTTTGACCTAATCGACAGGTTAGCAATGCTTGTCTCTCTGTAAAATTGATTATTTGAAATCAATTTCTTCATATGCTTGAAATCGATTCATCAATTCTTTGAAATCGATTTTTCAATGTACAGAAACTAAAACTAAACACCCAAATTTTGTTTTTCTCTATGAATCGGGATTTCATGAAGTGAATTAGCGATGAAAAAAAGGAATCCCGATTCATAAAAAGAGAGATGCAGATCTTTAAGTAACTAGAAGCACAACAACAATGGCAATTACGAGTAGTATTGATGATTTGGGGAAGGAGAAACGATAAGGATAAAAGTAGATATTTAGGTGTTGGGTCTGCTGAAATCAAAGACATGATTTTGGTGTCACATGTGTGCCTTCAAGTCTTTTACCAAGCTTTTTCTTTAGTTTAACACTTTAATGATTATAAACCTTTTATATTTTAGACTATCTATATGGAAATTATGTTTGGTTTAATTGGATTGAGATGTGAAATATTGTTTGAATTAATGATCTCAGTTTCATATTTTTATGAACAAATTGATTAAATTGTTTAATTGTTATATTTCTTAATAACACATCATCTAATAACATGATCTTGATCTTTGTAATTTATTCTAATATATTTGATCTTTTACTAATAAATGAATTATTATAAAAAATATTGTTTGAGGGTAATATAGTCATTTGCACAGTCAATTAGATTTAAAATCAAACAACAAGTTTCAGTCAGAAAATAACTCAGTCAAAGTTTCTAACCCAGTCAACTTTTAACCCAGTTGACAACTATCAAACGACCCCTTAATGGAGCTAAAACACTCGAGGATGTTGGAAGCTAGATTAAAGTAACTAAATCTAAAGTTTTCAGGTCCGAATCATGCGTTTTTGCAATCACACGATCACAACAAAGTTACATGATCACGTTCTGTGATTGTGTTTTCATCCCAAAATTTTTTTAGACCATATAAAATACCATTTGAGGACCTTGATCAAGAAATGCGATCACCCTATGCCGAAATACAATCATGTTTATGATCGTGTTTTGGTCTCGAAGATTTCCCGACTCTTAACATCAAATTTTTTTTATCACTTTGAAAGAGTTACATGATCCTAAAATGCCATTACATG